GGTACTTCGGTGCCTACTCTATGTATCCTTCTCCTGGGGACCAGGACGGTGTGGTGATACCACTGCTTCCCGGGCCAGCGGCACTACAACTATCTTGTTTGGCCACAGCCTCAGGAAGCAGAACCGGCTCTGTCTGCAGTTTTAGAAGCCAAGACAGCTTGCCAAAGGGCACAGAATGGGTTCAGGCAGACATGGAGCTGAGGCCCATGATCCCAAGTCTTTGAATAGAGTCTCTTGCCTCCTCCTTACCTTGCTGGACAATGGGCCCTCTGACCAGAACCTGAGAACAGACGAGGTGGGAGAATGGGGGGATGGGCCAACGACTGTGCCTCCATTTACCTGAAGTGCACACTAGCTTAGGGCAAGCATGGCTTTCCTTAACACCACCACAGCGCTGCAGGTGTGCTCATCTGTCTGTTGGAGTACCCTCGAGGGAAGAGGAAAAAGGGTTCCACCATGGAGCGGTGGTAAGTCATCCCCGCCTGAGAGGCCTGGGCCTGCCTTGTCGGGAGCTTCCAGCCCAACACCTGCCCAGCTACTGGATCAAGGACCCAGGACCCTGGAAGGGGATGGATAGGGAGGGACAAGGGTCCTGATTGTGACTGATGCTGACCCCCTGACCTCTGTCCTCCCTCTACGTCTAGTGGACAGAAGTACCTGACTGCTGTGGTAAAGCTATTTGGACCCCTTACGAGGAATTACTACGTCCGGGCTGTCCTCCACTTCCTGTGAGTCCCTCCCCACCCCCGCCAATGCCCTGGGCAACAGGAGACTAGAAGGAGGCACCCCATGGATCTGTAGCCTGGATGGGAGATTATGGCTCAGCCCCGCCCCTTCCTCATCGATGTTTGTCCAGACAGAAAAGTCAAGTTTTTAGAGAGGGCAGAAGGTCCCAAACCTGCATCCCTCAGCTGCCCTGCGGTGCACACCGAACCCAGCAGTTGGACGCTGGGTGGATTTCTGTGGGTCTGTTACACCTGCCGTTTTTCATGGTCTTTGCTAAGCCTGTACTGGAACACACCCATGACACTGCTCTCCAGCTTAGGCCTTTTCCCCTACACAGTAGCTGGGCCTTAAATCACCACAGAGAACATTTTATGCCAAGCTGGACCTGGGCAGAGCTGGCCTCTGCTCAGTCTAGTGCCCTGAGGATGACATCTTCCTCTGAGACCTTACAGCCAAGAGCTCAAGACCCCCCCTGACTGTTGTCTCTCCCCTTCCTTCTGTTACCCCTCAAGGCTGTCAGTACCTGCAGGCTTCCTGCTGGCTACTATCTTGGGGACTGTCTGCTTGGTCATTGCCAGTGTGATCTACCTGCTGGTAAGTGGCTGCCCTCTATAGTAAAGTCTCCTCCACACCCCACCCCTGCTCCCATGTCTATGGTGTTCTTGGTCCTCAGGACAGCTTCCTTGCTCACATCAGCTTCGGCTGATGCATACACATCTGGTGTATCCTGGACACTTCCTGTTGAGGCTGCTGTTACAAGGAGAGAGGGGCCCTTTGTTCTGGCTGCCCGGCTAGCTTACACCCGAAATAACCACACAGAAACTGTATTCATGGAGGCTGGAGAGATGGCTCAGTGGTTAAGAACATTGCCTGCTCTTCCAAAGGTCCTGAGTTCAATTCCCAGCAACCACATGGTGGCTCACAACCTCGTGTAATGGGGTCTGGTGCCCTCTTCTGACCTGCAGGCATACACACAGATAAAATAAATAAATTTTTTTTTAAAGAAGAAACTGTATTCATTGAAACATTGCTTGGCCCATTAGCTCTAGTTTTCTATTGGCTAATTCATACATCTTAATTTAACCCATTTTTATTAATCTGTGTAACGCCATGTGACTGTGACTTACCGGCAAGATTCTAACCAGCATCCGTCTCAGGCAGGAGAGCCATGGCATCTTTCACTCTGCCCTTCTTCCCAGCATTCAGTTTTGTCTTCTCCGCCTACCTAAGTTCTGCTCTATCAGGGCCAAAGCAGTTTCTTTACTCATTTAACCAATAAAAGCAACACATGACCAGAAGAACCTCCTACACCAGGCTGCATTATAGCTCTGCCCAGCAGGTGGATAAAGACAACTCAGAGAGGCCGTGTGGCTGGTCAAGTCCTACTTCCCAGCCTCAATGTGGGCCCATTGCTCATCAAAGCCTGCCCGAGTTTGGGGCTGTGTCAAGTGCACTTCCCAGGGATTCATGACTCAGAAACATTTATCTATCTGCCTATTATCTATCTATCTATCTATCTATCTATCTATCTATCTATCTATCTATCT